GACGGTCCCGCAACTAACCCAGCGTCATTGCTCGGCGGTGCTTGACATTGCATGGCATTGCTTGGTACTGCTTGGCAATGCTAGACATTGCTGAGCATTGCCTGCATTGCTTGGCGTTGCTTGGCACTGTTCGGCACTGCTTGGCATGGCTTGGCATTGCTTGGGGGTGCTTGGCATTGTTTTGCATTCCTTGGTATTGCTTGGCATTGCTCGAAATTGCTTGGCATTGCTCGGCATTGCTTGGCATTGGCTGGGTGTGATCGGCATTGCTTGGAATTGATTGGCAATGCTTGGCATTGCGTGGCATTGTTTGGCATTGCGTTGCATTGCTTGTCAGTGCTTGACATTGGTTGGCTTTGCTTGGCCGTGCTTGGCATTGCTTCGGGTTGCTTGGCATGGCTTGGCATGAGTTGCCATTATTTGACATATCTTGGCATTGCTTGGCATTTCTTGGCATTGCTTGGCATTTCTTGGTGCGTTGCTTAGCATTGCTTGGCGTTGCTTGGCATTGCTTGGTGTTGTTTGGCATTGCTTGGCATTGCTAGGCACTGTTTTGCATTCCGTGGCACTGCTTGGCGGTGCTTGGCATTCCTTGGCGGTGCTTGGCACTGCTTGGCCTTGCGTGGCGTTGCTTGGCGGTGCTCTGCACTGCTTGGCATTGATTGGTGTTGCTTGGCACTGATTGGCATTGATTAGCAGTGCTTGATAATGCTTTGCGCTACTTGGCACTGCTTGGCCTTGAGTGGCGTTGCTTAGCATTGCTTCGCATTGTTTGGTGTTGCGTGGCATTGCGTGGCATTGCTTGGCGCTGCTTGGCATTGAGAGAACCCCTGGACAACCCCGGGCAGCCCCGGGCAAACCCGGGCAAGGCCGGGGGCCGCCCGGGCAATCCCGGGCAACCCCGAGCAACCCCGGGCAACCCAAGGAACGCTAGGCAACAGGGCAACGGAGCAGCCCGGGGATCGCCGAGGGTCGTGAGGGATCGCCGAGGGTCGTCTCTCATAGACGCCGTCGCACCCGCCAGGCTTCTTTCACAAGCAGGTAAGAACCCCTTAAGCAAAGCCTGTTTTGGAAAGAAGTAAACCGAAACGGCGATGGAGGGAAAAAGGAATGCAGGAGGAAGAAGAAAAGAGGAGGTCGAAGTGATCCTGGTCTCATGTCCGTCGGGTTTCAGCGGTGGTGGCCATGGACCAGAGGGCCCCGCCATAAGGATCCCGCCCTTGCGCTCTACTCCACTGCTCCCCCTCAGCGTCGATTGACAATCAGTTCATTTCAATAGTTCTACTTCGGCAACTTACGAAGGCGAAACACCAGGTACGAGAACGGAAGTACGTGTGCGTGTGCGTGCATGCGTCAGCGCACGCATGAGAACACGCACGTACCTTCCGAAACCCCTCGGGGAAGATCCCCTAGCTCCAGCCTGGCACTTTCGAGCTTGCGACGCCAGGGTGCCGCAGACGCAGGCGGGAGAACGAAGGACGCACAAGCACAACGAGCCACCGAGCCAAATCCCTTAGAGGCAAGTAACATTGACAAACCGCATCGATCTAAGATAGCCTCGAGGGGGCTTCGGAAAGCCCGAAGATGGCCCCAGAGGGCCCCAAGGCCATCCAAAAAAAAAAAACCACGATGGCCCGAGAACCTCAAGACGGCCGAGGACCGTTCCGGCAAAACTCCAAGACGGTCCCGAAATCTGACGAGTCTCTTCGAGAGAGAGCTCGATAGGACCATCGCTCCAAAGAAGGCCCCAAGACTCCCCAAAGGGCCCCAAGAGGCTCCCAGGGGAAGCCCAAAAAGGCCGCAGAGGTTCCTCAAGAAACTTTGGAGAAACCCGCGCGTAGCAACGCAACAACCATGCACCATGCAACGTCACGGCCATGCCAGGCTACGGCATCGTAGCGCTGCTTCCCACACGGACTCAGGAGGGTTCGACCGAGCCTATTCGGGAGAGCTTGGTAGAACCATTCTGCATAATGCTGCGCTGGCACGGTAACGGATATGCCGCGGAAAGATGGCACAACTCTATCAGGGCGTTGTTCCAACATGACAGGACATGTACGAGTGTACAACTTCTCAGGCACGGCGCACAATCCGATCATTACAGCCCTGCCGCGCGCGCACACTTCAGCAGCCGCCAAGGGCGATGTACAAAGCCTTCTAGAGAAAGGCTGTCCTCTTGCTCCAACTACTGCGCCACCCTCCTCCACCTCCGTTCCCACAACCTCCCCCAGAGATGCGATTCAGCATGCAGTAGAAGCCATGCAGGTGTGATCACTTCCCCGTATTCAGCCAGACTGAATGCCTCCTCAATGTGTAGGAGGTCACAAGAAAGGCGGTGGACTCGTGTACAGCAGATTCAAGAAAATTGTGCAGGACTCATGGAATACATAGAACTGCCTCCCAGCCTGGGTTTCAAAAAAAACGAGCCCGAGAGGGCGACTGCCGCGATCTGCCGACGGGTAGGAGGCCCCCGAGCCGGCAAGCCGACAGCGATGCAAAAATGAAAACGATCAGAAGTTCTCGAAACCGCCCATCCCCTGCCATCGCTTCATGGCGGCATCGAACTGGTCAACCCCGTCCAGGCCGGTCCACTGCTCCGCCACCAGGATCCCGATGACTGCGAACATCGAGAAGCGGCCGTTGTTGAGCTCGCGATTGCGGAGCTCGTCGTCGAACTGGACGCCTCCGAAGGTGGTCGTCCACCCTGCGGGGTCGCCGAAGTCGCCGGGAGCCCTCGACTCGCTCTCGGTCCAGAACTTCAGCTCGTAGAACCCCGCCGTCAGGAAGAGGATGCCGAAGGCCTGGGCGGCCGCCGGCTCCTTGGACGCCTCCCAGAGGAGGGTCAGGGTAGCCAGGGTCGGAGGAGATCGCGCCGCATCGTCGATGCATCGCCGATGCGTCGGGGGTACATCGGCGACGTCGGCGTGGAGAGAACTGGGCTCCGCATCGAGGCGCATCGCGGATGCATCGGCGACGTGGCGCGATCCTCCGACACCATCTACTCGGACCTCATCTGGGAGACCTAGACTCCTGCAGGGCCGCCAGGCCGGAGGGGGTCTCCGGGCTGACCCACGGGAACTTGTTGCCGTGGGCCGCGGTGAGGCCGATGGCCGCCATCATGGCCACGCGGGCGTGCTTGATCTCGGCCGTGCGGTACTTGCGGAAGGTGGCCTCGTCCGTGCACAGGCCCGCAGGGTCCCAGAAGCCGAGCGGCGGGAGCGCCCCCACCTGCTTCGCGGGGTCGAATGGGCCCGGGCCGAAGGGCTCGTAGCTGGTGGCCAGGCCAGGCGCCGTCTTCCCCTGCCTGAGCACGCCCGCGCCCGCGGCCGCGCCCGAGGCCGCCATGGCGCCCGCCGCCTTCGCGGAGCCCGCCGCCACCGCGCCCTTGGCCGCGGCGGCCGCGGCGGCGGCGGCGGCGACGGAGACGGGCTCGGCGCGGAGCGGGGAGTCCGTGTAGAGCGCCCAGTCACCCCATGCAGCGCCGGTCAGGCCGTCCTGGAAGAACATGCCGATGATCGCCATCATGGCCAGGCGACCGTTCGCAATCTCGGCGTTGAGCTTGGTCTTCCTGGCCTCGGTATCGGTCATGCTGGGAGCTCCGTTGGGCACGCCCAAGGGCCCAGCATTCGCGAAATCCCCGGGAGCTCTGCCATCCTCCTGCGAGAAGTATCCAATCTCGATGAGGCCCGCGAACAGGAATGTCTGAGCCCAACCTCCAGCGGGGATCTTGGAGAGGGCGGCCAGGCCGTTCGGCACGTCACTGAAGGCCAGGTCGTTCGAGGGCGACACGAGCCCTGGCCACTTGAAGTACTCGGGCACGATGTAGCCGATGCACGCGATCATGGAGACGCGGCCATGCTTGATCTCGGTCATACGGCGGCGCCTGAATGCCTCGGCATCCCCATCCTGGCTGTACCCCGCCGGATCCCAGTAGCCCACGGGAGCCTGCACGCCCAGCTCGCTCTCGAACGCGCGGAGCGGGGAGTCCGTGTAGAGCGCCCAGTCGCCCCAGGCAGAGCCGGTCAAACCGTCCTGGAAAAACATGCCGATGATCGCCATCATGGCCAGGCGGCCGTTGGCGAGCTCGGCCCTGAGCTTCTTCTGCTTCGTCTCGGGGTCGGTCGAGGTGATCGCCCTCCACCCGTAGTTGCCTGGCTCGCTGCCCCGCTTGAAGGCGCCGAAACCGAAGTTGACCTCCACCAGCCCGCAAAAGATGACCCACTGACAGATGCCAGCTCCTGGCACCTTTGCGAGCGCGCCAAGGCCGTTCGGCACGTCCGAGAACTTCAGACTGGTGGACGGCGAGAGGTAACCAGCGAACTTGAAGTACTCGGGGGAGATGTAGCCCATCGTCGCGAGCATCGACACCCGTCCGTGCTTCAGCTCCGTCTCCCGGCGCCGCTTGAAGGAGTCGGCGTCGCCGTCGGCGCTCAGGCCAAGGGGATCCCAGTAGCCCACAGGGGCCTGCACGCCCAGCTCGCTCTCGAACGCGCGCAACGGAGACCCCGTGTAGAGCGCCCAGTCGCCCCAGGCAGAGCCGGTCAAGCCGTCCTGGAAAAACATTCCGATGATCGCCATCATGGCTAGGCGGCCATTGGCGATCTCGGCCGCCAACTTCTTCTGCTTCTCCGCGGCGTCGCTGGACGTCAGCACCTTGAAGCCGAAGTCGCCCGCCGCGGCAGCGGTGCCGGCGGACTGGTCCTGGGACAGCTCGCAGAACGCACCGTACGCCACGATCTGCGCCCAGCCCGCCGCGGGAACCTTGGAGATCGCACCGAGCCCGTTCGGGATGTCCGCGAACTTCAGGCCCGCGGACGGCGACAGGTACCCTGGCAGCTTGCCAGTGATCTCTGGGGTGATGTAGCCCATGGTCGCCAGCATGGACACGCGCCCGTGCTTCAGCTCCGTCTGGCGCCGGCGGGCGAAATTCTCTGTGCTACCGTCCGCCGTGAAGCCAGCGGGATCCCAGAAGCCAACTGGGTCCTGAACGCCCAGCTCGCTCTCGAACGCGCGCAACGGAGAGTCGGTGTAGAGCGCCCAGTCTCCCCATGCAGAGCCGGTCAAGCCATCCTGATAGAACATGCCTATGATCGCCATCATCGCCAGCCTTCCATTCGCGATCTCCGCATTCAGCTTGCGGGATTTAAGCTCCCCAGCAGGCAAAGTACTGCCGTTGGGCACGCCCAGCACGCCACCGTTTTCATAGTCACCCGGGGCCCTCGATGGGTCGTACACGAACAGGCCCTTCTCGAGCAGGCCACAGAACAGGAAGATCTGGACCCATCCCGCGCCTGGAATCTTGGAGAGTGCTGCGAGACCATTGGGGATGTCCGCAAACTTGAGGCCCTTGGACGGGGAGCAATACCCCGGCCACTTGAAGTACTCAGGGGAGATGTAGCCCATACACGCCCACATGGACACGCGCCCGTGCTTGATCTCAGTGACGCGGCGCCTCTTGAAGGCCTCAGTATCGCCGTCCTTGCTCAGGCCGGCCGGGTCCCAATAACCGAATGGGGCCTGCACGCCCAGCTCGCTCTCGAACGCGCGCAACGGAGACCCCGTGTAGAGCGCCCAGTCGCCCCAGGCGGAGCCGGTCAAGCCGTCCTGGAAAAACATTCCGATGATCGCCATCATGGCCAGACGGCCGTTGGCGATCTCAGCCGCCAACTTCTTCTGCTTCTCTGCGGCGTCGCTGGACGTCAGCACCTTGAAGCCGAAGTCACCCGCCGCAGCAGCGGTGCCAGCGGACTGGTCCTGGGACAGCTCGCAGAACGCACCGTACGCCACGATCTGCGCCCAGCCCGCCGCGGGAACCTTGGAGATCGCACCGAGCCCGTTCGGGATGTCCGCGAACTTCAGGCCCGCGGACGGCGACAGGTACCCTGGCAGCTTGCCGGTGATCTCTGGGGTGATGTAGCCCATGGTCGCCAGCATGGACACGCGCCCGTGCTTCAGCTCCGTCTGGCGCCGGCGGGCGAAATTCTCCGTGCTACCGTCCGCCGTGAAGCCAGCGGGGTCCCAGAAGCCAACCGGGTCCTGCACGCCCAGCTCGCTCTCGAACGCGCGCAACGGAGACCCCGTGTAGAGCGCCCAGTCGCCCCAGGCGGAGCCGGTCAAGCCGTCCTGGAAAAACATTCCGATGATCGCCATCATGGCCAGACGGCCGTTGGCGATCTCAGCCGCCAACTTCTTCTGCTTCTCTGCGGCGTCGCTGGACGTCAGCACCTTGAAGCCGAAGTCACCCGCCGCAGCAGCGGTGCCAGCGGACTGGTCCTGGGACAGCTCGCAGAACGCACCGTACGCCACGATCTGCGCCCAGCCCGCCGCGGGAACCTTGGAGATCGCACCGAGCCCGTTCGGGATGTCCGCGAACTTCAGGCCCGCGGACGGCGACAGGTACCCTGGCAGCTTGCCGGTGATCTCTGGGGTGATGTAGCCCATGGTCGCCAGCATGGACACGCGCCCGTGCTTCAGCTCCGTCTGGCGCCGGCGGGCGAAATTCTCCGTGCTACCGTCCGCCGTGAAGCCAGCGGGGTCCCAGAAGCCAACCGGGTCCTGCACGCCCAGCTCGCTCTCGAACGCGCGCAACGGAGACCCCGTGTAGAGCGCCCAGTCGCCCCAGGCGGAGCCAGTCAAGCCGTCCTGGAAAAACATTCCGATGATCGCCATCATGGCCAGACGGCCGTTGGCGATCTCAGCCGCCAACTTCTTCTGCTTCTCTGCGGCGTCGCTGGACGTCAGCACCTTGAAGCCGAAGTCACCCGCCGCAGCAGCGGTGCCAGCGGACTGGTCCTGGGACAGCTCGCAGAACGCACCGTACGCCACGATCTGCGCCCAGCCCGCCGCGGGTACCTTGGAGATCGCGCCGAGCCCGTTCGGGATGTCCGCGAACTTCAGGCCCGCGGACGGCGACAGGTACCCTGGCAGCTTGCCGGTGATCTCTGGGGTGATGTAGCCCATGGTCGCCAGCATGGACACGCGCCCGTGCTTCAGCTCCGTCTGGCGCCGGCGGGCGAAATTCTCCGTGCTACCGTCCGCCGTGAAGCCGGCGGGGTCCCAGAAGCCAACCGGGTCCTGCACGCCCAGCTCGCTCTCGAAGGCCGTCATCGCTACCCTGTGCTGCGCGGAGCCTCGCGGGGCGGCTGCCTTGCCAGCGCTGGACAGCGCACCCCGCGCAAGCAGGGCCAGGGCCGCGGACGCCCCGACCAGCGCCAGGCCGAGGCCGGTGGGCGCCGCCGAATGGGAGACGGGCGCCGCTCCGGGCGCGCCCGCGAGATCCAGGGCTGCCCCAGGGTGGCCGTGGGGCCCATGGTGGCCGAGGGGCGCCGCCACGAAGGCGCGGCACAGCCCGCACGCCGCCAGGCAGGCGGCGAAAGCGGCGAGGAGAGCAACGATGCTGGAGCGCGCCATCGCAAGGAACTGGGCCTGATTTAAGTGAGGGAGAAGAGAGCTGAACGCTCACCCTCAATACCGAAAAAAATAGCCCAAAAAAAGGCTACGGGAAGTGACGGGGAGGAGGAGGGCCAGAGTAAACCCAGGACGCAGCAACGGTACTGCAAAACACCCTCCCGCCCCAAGTCCCTTCCTCATGAGTCCCTAGAGGCATTCCTCTCCCTCTCTCGCTCTCTCTCTCTCTCTCTCTCTCGCCCTCTCTCTCTCTCTCTCTCTCTCTCCGCGTGCAGGAAGCGCCCCTTTGAAAGACGAGCGCATCCCACGGGCCTGCCACTCAGGCGCGAGGAGCCTCATTTTGAAAAGGGGCTGCCATCTGCATCCTGTCAGGCGTACGGACGCGAAGGGGTACGAAGGAAAACTTACAAGACCAAGGAGCTGGCCAACGAGAGCCTCTGCTTGGGTAGGAGCTGCCCTTTGCCCGTGTAACTGATGCACGATGTTACACTTCGGGCCGCACATGTTTAGGAAGTTTCCGGGGAGGTATGTTGAACAGGAACCGTCCTTTATCCAAGCAACTGCCACACATGCTACACTTCTGGTCACACTTTGAAGAGGAACCGCCCCCCATGCGTCCAAGGGTTCGAGCATTTGAAGACGAGTGCGCTCGGCACCAGAGCGAGAGACGCAGCTTGAGAAGAAACCGCCCTCCCTCCATCCTTGTTACTGCTGGAACCTTGTAAGACGAAAGCGCGCGGCGCGAGGGCGAGGACCACATCTTATAAACCACCGCCCCTGCACCCGTGGAACTGCAACGGCGAGGACGTCGTGGGCAACGACTGCGTCGAGCATGCTTCCAACACCAACGAGTGCTTACACAAATGATTTCGACGTGCGCGCGCGGCGGTGCGCGCATGTGCCCCGCAATTCGTTCGCAACGCATGCTTGAACCAAAACAACTGTTTGAATCAACGCACGTGCACCGCAAAGTGTCTCTTGCACGAAAATGGCGGGGGGGATTGAGGCCGGAGTGGCTGGCACGCTTTTACTCCCAAGCCTCCTGAGCTGGGCTGATTTTTTTTCGCTTGGACAATAACCCCACCAAAATAATCACTGCGCTCGCACACCGTCCTCCCGCCTCCTGCCTCCCCTCCTCCATCCTCCTCCACCTCCTCCTCCTCCTCCTCCTCCTCCTCCTCCTCCTCCCTCCTCCTCCTCCTCCTCCTCCTCCTCTCCTCCTCCCTCCTCCTCCTCCTCCTCCTCTCTCCTTCTCCTCCTCCTCCTCCTCCTCCTCCTCCTCCTCCTCCCTCCTCCTCCTCCTCCTCCTCTCCTCCTCCCTCCTCCTCTCCTCCTCCTCCTCCTCTCCTCCTCCTCCTCCTCCCCTCCCTCATCCTCCTCCTCCGTTTCTTCCTCCTCCTCCTCCTCCTTGTTCCGCCTCCTTGGGCGAAACTGACTCCGATCACGCTGGGATCCTCATCCAGAAGAAAAACTCCGATGTGGGCCCAGATATCTGCATCAGCACGTGTGGGATTGAGATACGTCTCGGCGGTCCAACCATCAAGGACAGGCATCCAGTCCGCGGCGAAGACCGCGTTCCCACAAGCAGAAAATACGGTGAGCCACAAAGCCTCCACCTCGGGCCACCGTCTGACGAGGACCCGCCAAACCAACTACATCATAACAATCGACGTCAAGTGGCTGGAACTGACTGACGACCGCGACGCCGACAGCAAATCGGCGCAACCTCGGGCCCGTCGCGCCAGGCCCCCCGCTCGCATCACCAAACACGCACGTCGGGAAACTGTTGGCGGCGAGCGCGAAGCAGCCTGGGGTGCGGCCGTCACTTTGTCCGTCGAAATCCCAGTCGTCAGTAGAAATCAGACTGGGCATTATCGCCCACTGCTTTGGAATCGGCCCACGACGCCAGAAACAAAATTCCTGTTCGCGGTGAATGCAGGCCGCGGCCGCCAAGCAGTCACTTCTCACGTAAGCCCCTGATCCCGCGCTGCCGCGACAAACCCAAAACCTGCGATGAGAAGCCCCCCTGAGATCACCACATCGGTCACGAAGGTCGACCCGAGCTGCACCGATCCGACCTGCCGCCCATGACGAAGGGCATCAATCTGCTCTGCGCACCCTGGACCACGAGTCGAAAATAGCCACTGACAGGAGAGCACCGGCCAAGCGCTTGCCATAGCGGTCGTCACTGTCGCCGTTGCCTGACACATCGATGGCCACCACAAGGGACACCACAAGGTTGGTAAGAAAGCACGATGCCACTTTGCTCGTGCTCACATAAGTGCACGAGGTCCTGTTTAAACTGGGAGCTCTCGGCCTCCTGGGTACTAACCAAGTGTCTACGTGCACAATTGGGTTGGTGGTCGAACAGGGGGCGCGAAGCCGTTCAGCAAAGGTGCATTATTCCACGCACTGGTGTTCGGTGCCAAGCGCGCATGATCATCGCATCCTCTTCGTCATCACGCCCTCCGATTGTAGATAGACGTCCGTCTCCTCGCACGACGCCGACCAGGGTCTCGGGGAGGTTCGCACCCCCGCGGCCACCGCCATCTTGAGGCCCATCGGTCAGGTTTGGAAACCGAGCGAGTCCCTCGCGAGACGAGCTGGCGGGCCCAGTTGCAAACAAGCACTGCGCGAGGCGAGCATGGTCGCTGCCAGCGATGTCCCAGATATTGAGACGAGGGGCAAGCGCGGACCGGTAGCAGTGGACGCCGGGCTGGATGCTACTGTCGCCGTAGATCAGCGCGCCTCGGCCAGCTCCCTGGTAGGGCGGCAACGAGGGGGCGCTTTTAGCCAGCCTTGCGGCAATGGCGTCGTCGATCCTGGAGCGAGCACTGACGGCGACTGCGGCGCCGCACGCGCATTCGAGATTAATTCGCCGCCCAGAGATAGTCGGGATAATTTCCTCGCGGTCGGAAGGTCCGAAATGTCGGATGCGACGGTTATCATGGCCACGCTTCCCCGCCAAGTTCCTCGACGAGGAACACCTCGATGAAAAAAATCTAACACGAGAGAACTGAACCACCATCTCTCGTCCCAGTCGCGGCTACAAGCTCCCCTCGTTCCTCGCCCACTTCGGAGACAAAGACCACCCCGACCAGCGTCGTTGCCCATAGTGGCAACTGGCCGATGGTAGTCCGCGAAATCGCCTCTTCGGAATGCTACGCCACCGTCCGCGCTAGTCTTCGCCGCGAGGACCCCGTTTACTTTGGCTGCCGCCGTGGCCTGAGCAATACCGCCAAGTGCAATCTCACGGACGCGGAAATCGCGTTCCTGGCGCGCGGCCTCGGATTCCTCGAACTCTGGACCTCCAAGGTCAGGAAGCACGGATGGCCGCACGCCGTCGTCCGCGGCAGGAGGCAAACGAGTGGCTAGCGGACAACGCTTCGGCCAGGAGTCTGTATAAAGCACGGGGCATGGCACGCCGTTTGAGATATTCGCCCAAGTCGCCCATGGCCCCGGGAATGCCGCTTCAGACTTTCATAATGCTAGCGTGTTGTTCTGAAGCTCGTATACGGTGTTCGATAAACTGGTTATTGGCGTCATCGGTGTTGCGGCATCCTGCGCCATCGCAGTAATACTTTGGCGGCGTGGATGAACTTCACCCAACAGATGTATAAAGCGTCCAAGATGGTGTACTTGGACTGTCGGGGATCTCACAGTCGATGGTGTATATGATGCATCAGTCGGCGATGTGACAGGCGATGTGCTTCTTGTAGACTATCAAATATCATTCCACCTCTTCGTTGATTGGCCTGGTAAGCGCAGCGATGGTAAAGCAAAACTGCCGGGACGCTCCCACGCCTGGCACTCTCGGCACGCGCCAACGATTGTCGCACTGTCAAGTCCGCCCTAGGGCCACCAGTCGCACGAGGCTGCGGCGGTCTCGGATTGGCTCCTGATCGCCCCGTAGATGAGGAAGACTGCCCCCCCCCCCCCAAAGTGCAGAAGGGTCCCCACCATTTTCGGGTCCAAGGCGCACGGAAGCATCATCGCCTGTGGGCAGACTGACAGGTTGGGCAATTTCGCAAGCGATGTAACTGCGGCCAGGTTGTCGCTTGTCGTAATATTTCGCGCACGCTTCACATCTCCAACTTACAGAGATCACACCCCAGCAATCTGCGCGCGCGGGGGCCCCGAGAGCGCGAAGGACCGGTGGCTCGGGAGTGCTCGGCGCATCCGACACCACCGCGTCCGCCGCGAGGGGCGCTGCCGCGCGGAAGTGGATTAGCTGTTCGAGTCGCCTGGACCCGGTCCGCACCACCAGCTGCTGTTGCGGGGTGACTGTCGACGTCGGTCAGACCTGGCTAGGTCTAGCTTCCTCGAGGCGATGGGCGACCAGGCGCCACGGCCTCCAGCGAAATTACGGCGTCGACGACCACGCGGCATAACTTCTTCGGGCATTGGGCGGTCAAGACAAGCTCCTTGCTGCAGAGCCGGGAGCGCTCGCGACGTCCATCCATTGCACCGATATTTCAGAGACGGTCGGAGCAACGTAGAGCGATTGGCAGAAATCTCTGTTGGTTCTCGCATGGGCCTGCCTCGGTGACCTCTGAGATGCGCCATGCGCCGTCAAAATCCGCCCTGCAATGTCGGGCCCCTCTTCTGCACGTGAGTCCACGACTGTACTCTATTATCACAAGTGGCTGCGGGCTGTTCTCGCATCCGATGTCGGCCCAGTTGTCAGCGCCGCGATCGCAATACCGCACCTGCGAACGGGTCCGCTTCGCGAAGTTCCTTCCACGCGAGGCGGCCTGCCATGTAGTTGGGCCAAGAATGTACACCAGTACTCCTACAACTGGGTTGGAGAATGATGACTAGCACATAGCAACAGCTCGTCGTCGCCACTATCGCAATCGCCGCTGCGGGAGACTTCGAAGCAGACATCGCACGTCGCGAGGGCAATGTCTTCGCCCAAGCCGCTGAAACCATCCCAGCAATCATCGCTGCCGTCTTCCACGTGCTCGGGAATATCTTCGGTGTCACACAGGCTTCCCTGACCCTCATTCGTTCATCTGCCTGTCGCACGCGGGCGTCGGTGGGCAGCGCTGTCACGTTTACACGATTAGATTGGCTTCGCACGCCTACGCGCGGGAAAAAAAAGGAAGAAGAAAAAGGAGGGGGGGGAAGTCTGACGCGGTCGCCACGCTCGTACCTGCTAAGATAGGTGCGCATAGCCTGCCGCTGTCGGACTAGATGTTGGATTTGGTGGCCCGCCAACTCCTCGAGTACACATCGCACCCATCGGCCGCGACGTTCCGTCTTGCCATGCCAGCCGAGAACGCGGCCTTTCAATGCTGGACGCACGTGTAGAAAACCACGCACGCGATGAACACTTTCGCGCGGGAGCGATCTGGACGCACGCACCGACCGACGCCCTGCCCGCGGCACCACATAGACTGCCAAAAATGCAGAGCCTCACGCGTACAGCACTGGCACCCAAGTCATGTAAGAGCTCACGACTTGGGGGCAGATGCCAGAAGTAGGACTGAGGGCGACAGATGAGAATGCCAATATTGATACCCCTGGCCAGGGCTATCATGTTCTGGAGTTTCTGCCAGCGCAGGCCCGATCGCTTACGCGGTGCACGAACGCGCCAATCGCACGGCGCGTTGACCCAGATTGCAGTATACTCTGCCTTCTGCCTTGAGAAGCCTTCACATGTGATGCATTCCGCCTGACGTCACCAATCCATCATGGAAATGCGATCACATGCGATGCGGCATCGGCAGAGGGTGGAACCAGCTGTGCGACTGTCCTCTGTAACTGGGACGCCGGACTGCCGCGCTGCCCCGGTCGGAACAAGCTGCTGCCGGGCCGCGCCCCGCGGGGGAAAAGGATGCTTGGGTCGAGTTCCCTCGAATCTCAATCTCATTCACACTCGCCGATTCTGCCTCGATCCCCGCACAGTCCAACAATAAGGGCGTCTGATCCGTTTCGTCGGCGATGTTGTTCTCCTTCATATCGGAATGGTCGCACGGGACGCTGAGACATCCACTCGGCGACACCAGCCTCCGACAGACTTTCCCCGCATTCGCTAATATGATGCGATAGCCCTCGTCGCCAAGGAAGATCACCTTCTCTTTTCCGCCCCGAAGGACGAGGATGGCCGCCTTTTTCCTGCGTGGACCCAAAGACTCTGAGTCAATGGAGACGCTCGATGTGAAAATGTCCCTCTGGGTGTAGTCTTGATGTTCCACGGCAACTGGGACGTTAGCCATATCGTCACGAGTAACTGACCCCTGCTCGACACCGCTCAAATTCAGTCAGTCAACCCTCCTTGACAACGCGGTCGATTATCCGAATTCGGCAACCACGGCGTTGAATTCATTCTCGACGGCCTGATCGCCTATCAGGTTGATGCGAGACCCATAGTCTACCAACATATGATATTGGTAGGCGGCCGTTTGATAGTTTGGTTCTCGAACTTGTTCTGGCGCGCACTGCATCAGGAGTCGCGCTTCCGCGATGCCCTGAGGTCATTCGCACATGTGGAACCCAACGTCAGGTGCGAAAGGAAGGGTCCTGAGATGTCGTCCTGAGTTGTCGCCCACGATGTCCTGAGTTGTCGTTGGGTGTACATGACATCGTGGCGTTGTCCTCCATCAGACTGCACAGCCGTGGGCGCGGCGCAAGGCGGTGGAGGCGGTGTCGGGGCTGCACCTGTAATTGCTCGGAACGTCGCTGGTCGCGTTCTTGTCGTGACGCTACGGAAATTAACGCAACGTCTTCCAATTGCGTGGCACCTGGGTGTGGGAATAAAGATTTTGCGACTCCAGGTGCTCGGCTATTTGGACAATCAGGAGCATCGCCCCGCCTCTTCGCCACCGTTCTCCTACGCCATCACTCTGCGTGGGAAAAGTGATTGCCGCGTAGCTGGACCAAGTGGTCCCATGGATGTAGGTTGTCCAAACAGTTCGGGCAGACATCGTCGTTCCCGTCGCATAGCGGCATGGTTCTCGATTGTCGGCCCACCGTTGCACCGACGTTGCAAGTGCGCTGCCAGGTCGCGTTTCCGCGAGGCCCATGCGAATTGTTGCTCCAGGGCCCCTTACCCGCCTGGCCTTTTGTCTGCAGCCCCCCCCCACACCACCACCACCACCACCACGCACCCCACCCCACCCCCACGGCGGCGCGACCTTGGCTCGCCCAGTTGAGACGTTCGACGCATTGCCATCTGCTTGGCCACGTGAATGTCCTGAACGCACAGCGGGAATGCACCGCTGCAGTTCCGCGCTAACACTCAGGGGCAGCTGGGCGCCAATCCTCGTCGCACTCGCCCGGGTCAAACGCGGCCCTCGGCAGCAGCGTGCGATCTCCAACTCGCGCGGCTGACATATTATGAATTCCGTTGACGGTCTCACGTAAGTATCGGTTTTTGCTGCTGCTCGACGGCGGGTCGACGAGGGGCCTTCCCGCTTGTTCAGCAAGTAATTCTGGGACGAGCGGTGGATCTGCGCGGCGTCGAGGAAGACGCCGGAGGTTCGCGGGGCCTGGGCGCGCGAAGACAGCATGCACACACGGCGTGCGATCGCCCACAGTAGGGCTCGGCGCCCAGGCGCACGGCGGAGTCCAATCATCTGGCGAGATCGGCAGGCCCTGCTGACGTAGCGCCACCGCGGCAGCTGGCGCCGCTGCCTGATGTTGCAGGTGCATGCGCTGACGCGCACGCATCTGGTCGCGCGACTCGGACCCTCGAAATATCTATCGGAATCGGTATCTGACTTCTTCGGCATGTACCCTGGACACCCAATGTCGGGGGCGTTCGCGTCGAAGTCGAATTTCACCGGCTCGGTCGCATCTCCAGCAACCGCAGCCGCCGAGGGCGCGCGCGACGGTCGCTGGCTGACACGAGGTGCATTCGTAGGTTCGGCGGCCTGCACTGCCAGCGGCTGCCCATCGACTTGGATTTGCTCGTTCTAGAGGGCTCGGGCGCCCAGCGTTCCACGGGTCTCGCTGCGTCAGAAGGTCGCGCGGCTCTCATGTGCTCGATGCGACGGCGACAAAGATGCCGAGAAATATCCTCCTTGCGGCGGTGGAACGAGCTCGCGGGAGTCGATCGCGAAGCTGTCTGCACTGCCGTTGTCGCGGCTTCGCGCTGGAGACCGTCTCCTTGCACGCGGCGTCGGCCCAGGCGGCGGCGGCGGACATATAGGCGCCGTTGACGGCCGCCCAGCTCGCGGCGCTGCTCCAGGCGGATCTTGCGCCAGTCGCCCCAGAGGCGCGGCGCGGGGCCGCCAGCGACGCAAGATAGCAAATTCCTCCTTTTATAAGCTCCCCCCCGTCAATTGCACGTTGCCGAACGGGCCTGCTGGCCAGGCGAGCGCTGAGACACTGCTGATTGATCCGCGCCATCATTTGTTCCAGATCCACTACTTCGCACGAATATTTAGCCGGCACCACGCCGTCTCTGCCAGCCGATGGCACCACTTGTCGTTGAAGCGATACTTGCACGCCGCCCTTGAGCATCTCCTGAAAGACGATGGAAGGCGCGACCCTGGATGATGCTCCGAATCCACTCCTGATGCTGCCATAGACCGGCTGGCAGCGGGCGCCGCGGGCCCTTTGGCGGCCACCTGCGCCGCGGCCACCGCCGCGACGGTCGCGCGAGAGACCCCCGGCGGCACCATGGGAAATACTCCAGAGGGGCCGCTTGGAGGCCCCGCTCGCCACGGCACGGGGGGAATCGTCATCGCCCATGTTCTCGAATATCATTTCTCCATGAACCCTCGCGGGATCTCGGCGGGCGAGCGCCCCCCCCCCCAATCCTTGCACCACCTGATCTGGCATCTGTCACTCCAGCCGCCGTTGTCCTCAAGGTGTCGTTTGATACCATCTGCAGGTCGGCCCTTGTCCTGGCCCATGGGCGCGCATTCGGCATTCGAGGACGCGGGCCTGCCGATCCGCCGCGAAGTCAGAAGCCACGCGATGACGCGACGGCATCGGTCCTTCCCAACTCCACCCCTCAATCGGGCCCCACGCTTGCAGTCTCAACTCTCGCAGACTGCGGTTGCCCATGCTGCCCCGAAGAAGTATCCAGGAGAGAAATTTGCACATGCGCCCGCCGTCGGACTCAGGTCCTATCCCGGTATCCCTAAGGGGTTGCTCCACGCAGCCTTCGTCGGGACCTGCATCGCACGCGTCATCGCAGATGCACGCGAACTCGGGCGCCTGGCATTCATCTGCTTGGAATGCATCCGCGAATTCGCCCCCGGGATTCGCCTCCCCTTCGGGTTCTGAGCTGGATGCGGTTAGGCGCCCCCGAGCACCTCCTTGGCCACGGCGTTCGGCTTCTCGGGGTTCTCGAACGGCCTTCTGTAGCTTGTCATATGCTTCTCCACCCCCAGAATAACACGCGGGTCGAGGGGCGCGCTTGATCTTCCAGCCCGGCGCAAGCGGCGCGTCTGGCACGCGACATGAGCGGCAAGATTTGGACGGAAAATTCGTACGCATGTTGATTTTCAAACGAGTGGCCTTCGCCGCTGCCATGAGCCCACCCTTCCCGCTTTGGAGCTGGTCTAATTTGCGGCGTGGGCTCCACATTCTGCTCCCCCTTGGCCATGACGAAGCTCTGAACGCGTTGTCCTGGGACGGTCCCGCAACTAACCCAGCGTCATTGCTCGGCGGTGCTTGACATTGCATGGCATTGCTTGGTACTGCTTGGCAGTGCTAGACATTGCTGAGCATTGCCTGCATTGCTTGGCGTTGCTTGGCACTGTTCAGCACTGTTTGGCATGGCTTGGCATTGCTTGGGGGTGCTTGGCATTGTTTTGCATTCCTTGGTATTGCTTGGCATTGCTCGAAATTGCTTGGCATTGCTCGGCATTGCTTGGCATTGGCTGGGTGTGATCGGCATTGCTTGGAATTGATTGGCAATGCTTGGCATTGCGTGGCATTGTTTGGCATTGCGTTGCATTGCTTGTCAGTGCTTGGCATTGGTTGGCTTTGCTTGGCCGTGCTTGGCATTGCTTCGGGTTGCTTGGCATGGCTTGGCATGAGTTGCCATGATTTGACATATCTTGGCATTGCTTGGCATTTCTTGGCATTGCTTGGCATGCCTTGGCGCGTTGCTTAGCATTGCTTGGCGTTGCTTGGCATTGCTTGGTGTTGTTTGGCATTGCTTGGCATTGCTAGGCACTGTTTTGCATTCCGTGGCACTGCTTGGCGGTGCTTGGCATTCCTTGGCGGTGCTTGGCACTGCTTGGCCTTGCGTGGCGTTGCTTGGCGGTGCTCTGCACTGCTTGGCATTGATTGGTGTTGCTTGGCACTGATTGGCATTGATTAGCAGTGCTTGATAATGCTTTGCGCCACTTGGCACTGCTTGGCCTTGAGTGGCGTTGCTTAGCATTGCTTCGCATTGTTTGGTGTTGCGTGGCATTGCGTGGCATTGCTTGGCGCTGCTTGGCATTGAGAGAACCCCTGGACAACCCCGGGCAGCCCCGGGCAAACCCGGGCAAGGCCGGGGGCCGCCCGGGCAACCCCGGGCAACCCCGAGCAACCCCGGGCAACCCAAGGAACGCTAGGCAACAGGGCAACGGAGCAGCCCGGGGATCGCCGAGGGTCGTGAGGGATCGCCGAGGGTCGTCTCGCATAGACGCCGTCGCACCCGCCAGGCTTCTTTCACAAGCAGGTAAGAACCCCTTAAGCAAAGCCTGTTTTGGAAAGAAGTAAACCGAAACGGCGATGGAGGGAAAAAGGAATGCAGGAGGAAGAAGAAAAGAGGAGGTCGAAGTGATCCTGGTCTCATGTCCGTCGGGTTTCAGCGGTGGTGGCCATGGACCAGAGGGCCCCGCCATAAGGATCCCGCCCTTGCGCTCTACTCCACTGCTCCCCCTCAGCGTCGATTGACAATCAGTTCATTTCAATAGTTCTACTTCGGCAACTTACGAAGGCGAAACACCAGGTACGAGAACGGAAGTACGTGTGCGTGTGCGTGCATGCGTCAGCGCACGCATGAGAACACGCACGTACCTTCCGAAACCCCTCGGGGAAGATCCCCTAGCTCCAGCCTGGCACTTTCGAGCTTGCGACGCCAGGGTGCCGCAGCAGCAAGCGGGAGAACGAAGGACGCACAAGCACAACGAGCCACCGAGCCAAATCCCTTAGAGGCAAGTAACATTGACAAACCGCATCGATCTAAGATAGCCTCGAGGGGGCTTCGGAAAGCCCGAAGATGGCCCCAGAGGGCCCCAAGGCCATCCCAAAAAAAAAAAAAAACCTCAAGACGGCCGAGGACGGATGGCCCGAGAACCTCAAGACGGCCGAGGACCGTTCCGGCAAAACTCCAAGACGGTCCCGAAATCTGACGAGTCTCTTCGAGAGAGAGCTCGATAGGACCATCGCGCCAAAGAAGGCCCCAAGACTCCCCAAAGGGCCCCAAGAGGCTCCCAGGGGGAGCCCAAAAAGGCCGCAGAGGTTCCTCAAGAAACCTTCGAGAAACCCGCGCGTAGCAACGCAACAACCATGCACCATGCAACGTCACGGCCATGCCAGGCTACGGCATCGTAGCGCTGCTTCCCACACGGACTCAGGAGGGTTCGACCGAGCCTATTCGGGAGAGCTTGGTAGAACCATTCTGCATAATGCTGCGCTGGCACGGTAACGGATATGCCGCGGAAAGATGGCACAACTCTATCAGGGCGTTGTTCCAACATGACAGGACATGTACGAGTGTACAACTTCTCAGGCACGGCGCACAATCCGATCATTACAGCCCTGCCGCGCGCGCACACTTCAGCAGCCGCCAAGGGCGATGTACAAAGCCTTCTAGAGAGAGGCTGTCCTCTTGCTCCAACTACTGCGCCACCCTCCTCCACCTCCGTTCCCACAACCTCCCCCAGAGATGCGATTCAGCATGCAGTAGAAGCCATGCAGGTGTGATTACTTCCCCCTATTCAGCCAGACTGAATGCCTCCTCAATGTGTAGGAGGTCACAAGAAAGGCGGTGGACTCGTGTACAGCAGATTCAAGAAAATTATGCAGGACTCATGGAATACATAGAACTGCCTCCCAGCCTGGGTTTCAAAAAAAACGAGCCCGAGAGGGCGACTGCCGCGATCTGCCGACGGGTAGTAGGCCCCCGAGCCGGCAAGCCGACAGCGATGCAAAAATGAAAACGATCAGAAGTTCTCGAAACCGCCCATCCCCTGCCATCGCTTCATGGCGGCATCGAACTGGTCAACCCCGTCCAGGCCGGTCCACTGCTCCGCCACCAGGATCCCGATGACTGCGAACATCGAGAAGCGGCCGTTGTTGAGCTCGCGATTGCGGAGCTCGTCGTCGAACTGGACGCCTCCGAAGGTGGTCGTCCACCCTGCGGGGTCGCCGAAGTCGCCGGGAGCCCTCGACTCGCTCTCGGTCCAGAACTTCAGCTCGTAGAACCCCGCCGTCAGGAAGAGGATGCCGAAGGCCTGGGCGGCCGCCGGCTCCTTGGAGGCCTCCCAGAGGAGGGTCAGGGTAGCCAGGGTCGGAGGAGATCGCGCCGCATCGTCGATGCATCGCCGATGCGTCGGGGGTACATCGGCGACGTCGGCGTGGAGAGAACTGGGCTCCGCATCGAGGCGCATCGCGGATGCATCGGCGACGTGGCGCGATCCTCCGACACCATCTACTCGGACCTCATCTGGGAGACCTAGACTCCTGCAGGGCCGCCAGGCCGGAGGGGGTCTCCGGGCTGACCCACGGGAACTTGTTGCCGTGGGCCGCGGTGAGGCCGATGGCCGCCATCATGGCCACGCGGGCGTGCTTGATCTCGGCCGTGCGGTACTTGCGGAAGGTGGCCTCGTCCGTGCACAGGCCCGCAGGGTCCCAGAAGCCGAGCGGCGGGAGCGCCCCCACCTGCTTCGCGGGGTCGAATGGGCCCGGGCCGAAGGGCTCGTAGCTGGTGGCCAGGCCAGGCGCCGTCTTCCCCTGCCTGAGCACGCCCGCGCCCGCGGCCGCGCCCGAGGCCGCCATGGCGCCCGCCGCCTTCGCGGAGCCCGCCGCCACCGCGCCCTTGGCCGCGGCGGCCGCGGCGGCGGCGGCGGCGACGGAGACGGGCTCGGCGCGGAGCGGGGAGTCCGTGTAGAGCGCCCAGTCACCCCATGCAGCGCCGGTCAGGCCGTCCTGGAAGAACATGCCGATGATCGCCATCATGGCCAGGCGACCGTTCGCAATCTCGGCGTTGAGCTTGGTCTTCCTGGCCTCGGTATCGGTCATGCTGGGAGCTCCGTTGGGCACGCCCAAGGGCCCAGCATTCGCGAAATCCCCGGGAGCTCTGCCATCCTCCTGCGAGAAGTATCCAGTCTCGATGAGGCCCGCGAACAGGAATGTCTGAGCCCAACCTCCAGCGGGGATCTTGGAGAGGGCGGCCAGGCCGTTCGGCACGTCACTGAAGGCCAGGTCGTTCGAGGGCGACACGAGCCCTGGCCACTTGAAGTACTCGGGCACGATGTAGCCGATGCACGCGATCATGGAGACGCGGCCATGCTTGATCTCGGTCATACGGCGGCGCCTGAATGCCTCGGCATCCCCATCCTGGCTGTACCCCGCCGGATCCCAGTAGCCCACGGGAGCCTGCACGCCCAGCTCGCTCTCGAACGCGCGGAGCGGGGAGTCCGTGTAGAGCGCCCAGTCGCCCCAGGCAGAGCCGGTCAAACCGTCCTGGAAAAACATGCCGATGATCGCCATCATGGCCAGGCGGCCGTTGGCGAGCTCGGCCCTGAGCTTCTTCTGCTTCGTCTCGGGGTCGGTCGAGGTGATCGCCCTCCACCCGTAGTTGCCTGGCTCGCTGCCCCGCTTGAAGGCGCCGAAACCGAAGTTGACCTCCACCAGCCCGCAAAAGATGACCCACTGACAGATGCCAGCTCCTGGCACCTTTGCGAGCGCGCCAAGGCCGTTCGGCACGTCCGAGAACTTCAGACCGGTGGACGGCGAGAGGTAGCCAGCGAACTTGAAGTACTCGGGGGAGATGTAGCCCATCGTCGCGAGCATCGACACCCGTCCGTGCTTCAGCTCCGTCTCCCGGCGCCGCTTGAAGGAGTCGGCGTCGCCGTCGGCGCTCAGGCCAAGGGGATCCCAGTAGCCCACAGGGGCCTGCACGCCCAGCTCGCTCTCGAACGCGCGCAACGGAGACCCCGTGTAGAGCGCCCAGTCGCCCCAGGCAGAGCCGGTCAAGCCGTCCTGGAAAAACATTCCGATGATCGCCATCATGGCTAGGCGGCCATTGGCGATCTCGGCCGCCAACTTCTTCTGCTTCTCCGCGGCGTCGCTGGACGTCAGCACCTTGAAGCCGAAGTCGCCCGCCGCGGCAGCGGTGCCGGCGGACTGGTCCTGGGACAGCTCGCAGAACGCACCGTACGCCACGATCTGCGCCCAGCCCGCCGCGGGAACCTTGGAGATCGCACCGAGCCCGTTCGGGATGTCCGCGAACTTCAGGCCCGCGGACGGCGACAGGTACCCTGGCAGCTTGCCAGTGATCTCTGGGGTGATGTAGCCCATGGTCGCCAGCATTGACACGCGCCCGTGCTTCAGCTCCGTCTGGCGCCGGCGGGCGAAATTCTCTGTGCTACCGTCCGCCGTGAAGCCAGCGGGATCCCAGAAGCCAACTGGGTCCTGAACGCCCAGCTCGCTCTCGAACGCGCGCAACGGAGAGTCGGTGTAGAGCGCCCAGTCTCCCCATGCAGAGCCGGTCAAGCCATCCTGATAGAACATGCCTATGATCGCCATCATCGCCAGCCTTCCATTCGCGATCTCCGCATTCAGCTTGCGGGATTTAAGCTCCCCAGCAGGCAAAGTACTGCCGTTGGGCACGCCCAGCACGCCACCGTTTTCATAGTCACCCGGGGCCCTCGATGGGTCGTACACGAACAGGCCCTTCTCGAGCAGGCCACAGAACAGGAAGATCTGGACCCATCCCGCGCCTGGAATCTTGGAGAGTGCTGCGAGACCATTGGGGATGTCCGCAAACTTGAGGCCCTTGGACGGGGAGCAATACCCCGGCCACTTGAAGTACTCAGGGGTGATGTAGCCCATACACGCCCACATGGACACGCGCCCGTGCTTGATCTCAGTGACGCGCCGCCTCTTGAAGGCCTCAGTATCGCCGTCCTTGCTCAGGCCGGCCGGGTCCCAATAACCGAATGGGGCTGCACGCCCAGCTCGCTCTCGAACGCGCGCAACGGAGACCCCGTGTAGAGCGCCCAGTCGCCCCAGGCGGAGCCGGTCAAGCCGTCCTGGAAAAACATTCCGATGATCGCCATCATGGCCAGACGGCCGTTGGCGATCTCAGCCGCCAACTTCTTCTGCTTCTCTGCGGCGTCGCTGGACGTCAGCACCTTGAAGCCGAAGTCACCCGCCGCAGCAGCGGTGCCAGCGGACTGGTCCTGGGACAGCTCGCAGAACGCACCGTACGCCACGATCTGCGCCCAGCCCGCCGCGGGAACCTTGGAGATCGCACCGAGCCCGTTCGGGATGTCCGCGAACTTCAGGCCCGCGGACGGCGACAGGTACCCGGGCAGCTTGCCGGTGATCTCTGGGGTGATGTAGCCCATGGTCGCCAGCATAGACACGCGCCCGTGCTTCAGCTCCGTCTGGCGCCGGCGGGCGAAATTCTCCGTGCTACCGTCCGCCGTGAAGCCAGCGGGGTCCCAGAAGCCAACCGGGTCCTGCACGCCCAGCTCGCTCTCGAACGCGCGCAACGGAGACCCCGTGTAGAGCGCCCAGTCGCCCCAGGCGGAGCCGGTCAAGCCGTCCTGGAAAAACATTCCGATGATCGCCATCATGGCCAGACGGCCGTTGGCGATCTCAGCCGCCAACTTCTTCTGCTTCTCTGCGGCGTCGCTGGACGTCAGCACCTTGAGCCGAAGTCACCCGCCGCAGCAGCGGTGCCAGCGGACTGGTCCTGGGACAGCTCGCAGAACGCACCGTACCGCACGATCTGCGCCAGCCCGCCGCGGGAACCTTGGAGATCGCACCGAGCCCGTTCGGGATGTCCGCGAACTTCAGGCCCGACGACGGCGACAGGTACCCTGGCAGCTTGCCAGTAATCTCTGGGGTGATGTAGCCCATGGTCGCCAGCATGGACACGCGCCCGTGCTTCAGCTCCGTCTGGCGCCGGCGGGCGAAATTCCGTGCTACCCGTGGCCGTGAAACCAGCGGGTCCAGGGTCCCAGAAGCCAACGGGGCCTGCACGCACAGCCGCTCTCGAACGCGCCGCCAACGGAGGGACCCCGTGTAGAGCGCCCAGGTGACCCAGGCGGCAGCCCCAGTCAAGCCGTCCTGTGACAGCACACATCTCGGAGCGCATCATGGCCAGACGGCCGTTGGCGATCTCAGCCGCCAACTTCTTCTGCTTCTCTGCGGCGACGCTGGACGTCAGCACCTTGAAGCCGAAGTCACCCGCCGCAGCAGCGGTGCCAGCGGACTGGTCCTGGGACAGCTCGCAGAACGCACCGTACGCCACGATCTGCGCCCAGCCCGCCGCGGGTACCTTGGAGATCGCGCCGAGCCCGTTCGGGATGTCCGCGAACTTCAGGCCCGCGGACGGCGACAGGTACCCTGGCAGCTTGCCGGTGATCTCTGGGGTGATGTAGCCCATGGTCGCCAGCATGGACACGCGCCCGTGCTTCAGCTCCGTCTGGCGCCGGCGGGCGAAATTCTCCGTGCTACCGTCCGCCGTGAAGCCGGCGGGGTCCCAGAAGCCAACTGGGTCCTGCACGCCCAGCTCGCTCTCGAAGGCCGTCATCGCTACCCTGTGCTGCGCGGAGCCTCGCGGGGCGGCTGCCTTGCCAGCGCTGGACAGCGCACCCCGCGCAAGCAGGGCCAGGGCCGCGGACGCCCCGACCAGCGCCAGGCCGAGGCCGGTGGGCGCCGCCGAATGGGAGACGGGCGCCGCTCCGGGCGCGCCCGCGAGATCCAGGGCTGCCCCAGGGTGGCCGTGGGGCCCATGGTGGCCGAGGGGCGCCGCCACGAAGGCGCGGCACAGCCCGCACGCCGCCAGGCAGGCGGCGAAAGCGGCGAGGAGAGCAACGATGCTGGAGCGCGCCATCGCAAGGAACTGGGCCTGATTTAAGTGAGGGAGAAGAGAGCTGAACGCTCACCCTCGATACCGAAAAAAATAGCCCAAAAAACGGCTACGGGAAGTGACGGGGAGGAGGAGGGCCAGAGTAAACCCAGGACGCAGCAACGGTACTGCAAAACACCCTCCCGCCCCAAGTCCCTTCCTCATGAGTCCCTAGAGGCATTCCTCTCCCTCTCTCGCTCTCTCTCTCTCTCTCTCTCGCCCTCTCTCTCTCTCTCTCTGCGTGCAGGAAGCGCCCCTTTGAAAGACGAGCGCATCCCACGGGCCTGCCACTCAGGCGCGAGAGCCTCATTTTGAAAAGGGGCTGCCATCTGCATCCTGTCAGGCGTACGGACGCGAAGGGCGCGAAGGGGTACGAAGGAAAACTTACAAGACCAAGGAGCTGGCCAACGAGAGCCTCTGCTTGGGTAGGAGCTGCCCTTTGCCCATGTAACTGATGCACGATGTTACACTTCGGGCCGCACATGTTTAGGAAGTTTCCGGGGAGGTATGTTGAACAGGAACCGTCCTTTATCCAAGCAACTGCCACACATGCTACACTTCTGGTCACACTTTGAAGAAGAACCGCCCCCCATGCGTCCAAGGGTTCGAGCATTTGAAGACGAGTGCGCTCGGCACCAGAGCGAGAGACGCAGCTTGAGAAGAAACCGCCCTCCCTCCATCCTTGTTACTGCTGGAACCTTGTAAGACGAAAGCGCGCGGCGCGAGGGCGAGGACCACATCCTATAAACCACCGCCCCTGCACCCGTGGAACTGCAACGGCGAGGACGTCGTGGGCAACGACTGCGTCGAGCATGCTTCCAACACCAACGAGTGCTTACACAAATGATTTCGACGTGCGCGCGCGGCGGTGCGCGCATGTGCCCCGCAATTCGTTCGCAACGCATGCTTGAACCAAAAAAACTGTTTGAATGAACGCACGTGCACCGCAAAGTGTCTCTTGCACGAAAATGGCGGGGGGGATTGAGGCCGGAGTGGCTGGCACGCTTTTACTCCCAAGCCTCCTGAGCTGGGCTGATTTGTTTCGCTTGGAGCACTGTGGTTTCCGAACTCCTTCCCCTCCTTCCCGCATGCCTCCTACTGCCTCCTACCTGCGTCACCCTGTCTCCTACCTCGTCTCACATGGGGGCTCATACCTCCTGTGTTCGGTCGTCGCTTTCCCACCCCACCTGCTTTGGATTCTCGTTCTGAACAATCACTGCGCTCGCACACCGTCCTCCCGCCTCCTGCCTCCCCTCCTCCATCCTCCTCCTCCTCCTCCTCCTCCACCTCCTCCTCCTCCTCCTCCTCCTCCTCCTCCTCCTCCTCCTCCTCCTCCTCCTCCTCTCCTCCTCCTCCCTCCTCCTCCCTCCTCTCCTCCTATCCTCACCTCCTTCCTACTCCTCTCCTCCCTCCTCCTCCTCCCTCCTCCCATCCTCCTCCTCCCTCCTCCTCCTCCTCATCCTTCGGCCTCATCCCTCCTCCTATCCTCCTCATCTCCTCCCCCTCCTCCGCCTCCTCCTCCCCCTCCTCCTCCTCCCCCTCCTCCTCCTCCTCCGTTTTTTCCTCCTCCTCCTCCTCCTCCTCCTCCTCCTCCTCCTCCTTGTTCCGCCTCCTTGGGCGAAACTGACTCCGATCACGCTGGGATCCTCATCCATAAGAAAAACTCCGATGTGGGCCCAGATATCTGCATCAGCACGTGTGGGATTGAGATACGTCTCGGCGGTCCAACCATCAAGGACAGGCATCCAGTCCGCGGCGAAGACCGCGTTCCCACAAGCAGAAAATACGGTGAGCCACAAAGCCTCCACCTCGGGCCACCGTCTGACGAGGACCCGCCAAACCACCTACATCATAACAATCGACGTCAAGTGGCTGGAACTGACTGACGACCGCGACGCCGACAGCAAGTCGGCGCAACCTCGGGCCCGTCGCGCCAGGCCCCCCGCTCGCATCACCAAACACGCACGTCGGGAAACTGTTGGCGGCGAGCGCGAGGCAGCCTGGGGCGCGGCCGTCATTTTGCCCGTCGAAATCCCAGTCGTCAGTAGAAATCAGACTGGGCATTATCGCCCACTGCTTTGGAATCGGCCCACGACGCCAGAAACAAAATTCCTGTTCGCGGTGAATGCAGGCCGCGGCCGCCAAGCAGTCACTTCTCACGTAAGCCCCTGATCCCGCGCTGCCGCGACAAACCCAAAACCTGCGATGAGAAGTCCCCCTGAGATCACCACATCGGTCACGAAGGTCGACCCGAGCTGCACCGATCCGACCTGCCGCCCATGACGAAGGGCATCAATCTGCTCTGCGCACCCTGGACCACGAGTCGAAAATAGCCACTGACAGGAGAGCACCGGCCAAGCGCTTGCCATAGCGGTCGTCACTGTCGCCGTTGCCTGACACATCGATGGCCACCAGAAGGGACACCACAAGGTTGGTAAGAAAGCACGATGCCACTTTGCTCGTGCTCACATAAGTGCACGAGGTCCTGTTTAAACTGGGAGCTCTCGGCCTCCTGGGTACTAACCAAGTGTCTACGTGCACAATTGGGTTGGTGGTCGAACAGGGGGCGCGAAGCCGTTCAGCAAAGGTGCATTATTCCACGCACTGGTGTTCGGTGCCAAGCGCGCATGATCATCGCATCCTCTTCGTCATCACGCCCTTCGATTGTAGATAGACGTCCGTCTCCTCGCACGACGCCGACCAGGGTCTCGGGGAGGTTCGCACCCCCGCGGCCACCGCCATCTTGAGGCCCATCGGTCAGGTTTGGAAACCGAGCGAGTCCCTCGCGAGACGAGCTGGCGGGCCCACTTGCAAACAAGCACTGCGCGAGGCGAGCATGGTCGCTGCCAGCGATGTCCCAGATATTGAGAAGAGGGGCAAGCGCGGACCGGTAGCAGTGGACGCCGGGCTGGATGCCACTGTCGCCGTAGATCAGCGCGCCTCGGCCAGCTCCCTGGTAGGGCGGCAACGAGGGGGCGCTTTTAGCCAGCCTTGCGGCAATGGCGTTGTCGATCCTGGAGCGAGCACTGACGGCGACTGCGGCGCCGCACGCGCATTCGAGATTAATTCGCCGCCCAGAGATAGTCGGGATACTTCCTCGCGGTCGGAAGGTCCGAAATGTCGGATGCGACGGTTATCATGGCCACGCTTCCCCGCCAAGTTCCTCGACGAAGAACACCTCGATGAAAAAATCTAAGATGAGAGAACTGAACCACCATCTCTCGTCCCAGTCGCGGCTACAAGCCCCCCTCGTTCCTCGCCCACTTCGGAGACAAAGACCACCCCGACCAGCGTCGTTGCCCATAGTGGCAACTGGCCGATGGTAGTCCGCCAAATCGCCTCTTCGAAATGCTACGCCACCGTCCGCGCTAGTCTTCGCCGCGAGGACCCCGTTTACTTTGGCTGCCGCCGTGGCCTGAGAAATACCGCCAAGTGCAATCTCACGGACGCGGAAATCGCGTTCCTGGCCCGCGGCCTCGGATTCCTCGAACTCTGGACCTCCAAGGTCAGGAAGCATGGATGGCCGCACGCCGGCGTAGGCGCCGCACGTGGAAAGTCCGCGGCAGGAGGCAAACGAGTGGCTAGCGGACAACGCTTCGGCCAGGAGTCTGTATAAAGCACGGGGCATGGCACGCCGTTTGAGATATTCGCCCAAGTCGCCCATGGCCCCGGGAATGCCGCTTCAGACTTTCATAATGTTAGCGTGTTGTTCTGAAGCTC